GTGTGTGTGTGTGTGTGTGTGTGTGTGTGTGTGTGTGTGTGTGTGTTAGGGGGAAGATATACAACACAATAATGAACACGGTTTGCAATGTTTACTAAAGGTGAGATAATTATGTGTACCTTTTCTGTCTTCTAATTCTCATTTGAACCGAACCTTTGAGCAAAGGGGTTGTGTGGCTTTAGTGTGAGTGCTACTGTACTCACCTAGCAAAAGCATTGTGTGAATCAGGGAAGATTAAGCTGACAGATATTTTTATGATAAATGTGGTTCAAGATTTGCCTGTTGGTTCTCTGGGCTGTTATGCAGGTTAGATTGTACATTTTCATCCAGGATTAATTTATTCTTTATGGCATAGAGAACAGGATAAACATGACCTAAAATTATTTTTATTAGGTTAACAATAATCTTAAAAGTATAATCTATCTTTATAAATAAAGAAGACACACCACCTTTTAGAGATTTGTGTCTTAAAATTCAGGGTCTCTTCTGTTCTCAGCATCATTCCAGAGAATTTACCTCCACATATCATTCATGATATCAGTGGACTTGAAGAAGACAAAGATGGGGACAAATGTAAAGCAAACAAACAAAAACCAATTAAGAGACATTCACTCTTGAAAGTAAGGTGGGGAAATGGAGAGCTGAGGGAGAGACCTTATCCCGCTTCATATTAGGAATGTTTAAAAAGTGACATTAACAAAGCAAGGGAAAAGTTTAATAGCTAGAACTTTTCTGGGTGGGAGAAACAACCTCCAAAGTAACAGCATGCTGTGTTTCTTCCCTATTGCTTTCCAGGACGCCCAGATCAAGCCCCACTTTGGAGAGGAGCTGCCTTGAGCTTGATGACCCTCTGCTTGGTGTTGGTGACAGGACTGGTGACCTTGGCAACTATGTGTAAGTGTATGTGTATCAGACAAAAGAAAGTCATTTAGAAAACACTTATACAGTGTGCTAATTCAGGAAGGATAAGGTACCAGCATGCAGAACCCTCAAATCACTTCTGTTATTCCAGATCGTTCTCCAGCATGCTCTCAAAGCAACCCCAACCATGGACCCTTTCACTGCTATGTGAATCCTACCCCACAGTCATTTTTGGTTTTTGATGAACCTGATCATACTGTGAGGATAATTCTTCTTGTCTTAGTTATGAGTTAAAATGAATAAGCTCTCTTCTGACCAGACACACACATTTGTTATTCTTACTGAAAAAACATGGGAGCAAAGGGGAAGATTTGCAGATGAGCATGGTAATTTGTTTATCTTGAAACTTAGTAGAAGATTAACTCAATCTGCTCACCCCTGACCTTCCTAGGGTAAAGAAAATATTTTAGTGGCAGCAACAACCTGACTTTTGTGAATGAGGAAAATCACATATATAAGGAAGAGAAGGGGTAGGAGTTATGTCACGCCTGGCAGACAGAATAGAACTATTCAAGTGTCTAATAGTAGAAGCCACTCCCTAGCAGACCCTAAAACAATATTCTCTTCATTTTGGGCAGAATATTGTATATTATGGTAGTGGGAAGCCATCCTGAGGATATGTATGTTGTAAAATGTTAGGAGAAATATTGAAATTTATTTGATCAACATTCACTCTCAGGAGAATTGTAATCAAAAAGTTTATTAGAATATTAAAAGACACTGTATGAATTAAGTGTTTCTTGTTGATGTGACCAAATCAAACAAAAAACAAAACAAACAAAAAAAAAACAAATAAAACTAAAAAGAAAAAAATTTCAAAACAAAAAACCCAGCAACAAAAGCAGATTAAAGAAGGAGGATGTTATTTTGGTCCATGGTTTAATTAAGAAGGAATACAGTCTCCCATGTTGGGAAGTCATGGAGAGTATAGAGCATGTAGAGTTGTTGATCATATTGCATCAGAAGTCAAAGAGAAAAGGGAGATGAATGCCATGTTCTGCTTGCTTCCTCCTTTATACTCAGCCTGGGTCCACAGCTTAGGGGATGGCGCTGCCCACACTCAGCATGGGTCATCATATTTCAGAGAAACCTCTCTGGAAGTGCCCAGAGGCATATCCAGAGGTTTGTATGCTAGGTGAGATATACCTGTCACATTGACATGATCAATCATCACAGACACTGATGTCTCCTCTACTCTATCCATTTATTTCTTATATAAAAGTACTCATCAGTAGTTATGATTTGGACACATAAATACAGACTATTTATCTTCTTCTTTGGAAAAAATCAGATATCCTGTTGAGATAAAAGATATTCAGTAGATGCTGATGGGAAAATAAGTTGCATATCTTCTAAAAGATGCACATTCCAAAACAAATTAAAGTGAAATGATGTGCACTTATCGTGAAATGCACTGTATGTTTTTTGTAAAGTACAAAGCTTTTGATGCAGTAGTTGCTACATGCAGAGTGTTAATGAATCACTGGAAAGCTTAATAAAAAATAAAGATGTTTTAAAATAGATGCATGGATCCAGGACTAGGAAGGGTTAGAATGGTCCAAGATCAGTCTGTGATTATTGGCCAAACCCTGTCAAGGATGAAAGAAAGGAAGTAGAGTGTGTGTGTGTGTGTGGGGGGGTGATGTGAGCAAGAGAGCAACATGCAGTATACAAGAGAGGGAAAGGAGAGAGGAGAGAGGAGAGAAAAGAGAAAGGGAGGGCAAAAGGAAGAAGGAGAAGAAAGAAAAAAGAGGAGAGAAAGGGAAGGAAAGTAAAAAAAGAAAAAAGGGAGAGAAAAGAAGAAGAAAAAAAGAGGAGGAAGAAGAAGAGGAGAAGGAGAAGGAGGAGGGGGAGGAGGAAGAGGAGGAGGAGGAGGAGGAAGAGGAGGAAGGGGGGGATGATGTGAGCGAGGGGGCAGGAGGCAGAGGAGAAGAGGGGGGAGGAAGAGGAGGAAGAGGAAGAAGAGGAGCAGGAGGAGGAGGAAGAGGAGGAGGAGGAGAAGGAGGAGGAGGAGGAGGAGGAGGAGGAGGAGGAGGAGGAGGAGGAGGAGGAGGAAGGAGAATCCCTGGTGGCTGGAGGACCACACTCTTGAGTCAACCTGACAGCCTTGTGAGAGCAGTGGCTCTCACACACTTGTCTCCTTGTCTTGCAGTTTTGCAGATGTCGAACGACATTAACTCTGATTCAGAGAAGGTGAGTCAGCTTCAGAAAATAATCCATCCACAGCAAGACAATCTGTCTGAACCACTGAACAGCTCCAGAAAGGGTCTCCCAGAGGAATCTCTCCAGTCCCAGATCTCTGCCCTCCTGGAGAGGCAGGAGCAGATGGCGACCAAACTCTGCAAGGAATTCCTCATCCACACTTCCGGTAATTTTGACTTACATCGGCAAAAAAGCCAGATCAAACCCATCAACCTGATCAAAGTCCCCACATGAAGCACAGCACCCAGGAGTTATGTCCTTCAACAACCCCTTGATCATGGTACTTTAAATGTACAATGGACAAAGAATTATAGGTATTTCTTTAGTATTTTGGAAAACTTTATAGTCATTTCCAAATGCTACTAGCCTGGATACTTTAACCTCTCAAGTTATCAGTTACATCTCGGTGCAATGATTATCATAACATTCAAAAGCTGCACCTGCAAAAAGAGTTCCCCAAATTGTCCAAGCCCCCAGATGGGGTTACTCTGCTTCCAGAAGGTCCTGGCATGGTATGTTTTAGGGTGTTTATGCTCAGATCTGTTGTCCATGTGCATGACTTAGTTTCCAGAGCCTTCTGCAATCACCCCACAGAACTTGTACTTTTGAGTATAATGTTCTTTTCAGACCATAAATGCAATCCTTGTCCCAAGACCTGGCAATGGCATGGAAACAGTTGCTACCATTTTTCACTCAATGAAGAGAAATCCTGGCGTGATAGCAGAAAGGACTGTACGGACAAGAACGCCACTCTGGTGAAGATTGACAGTATGGAAGAAAGGGTAGGGTGGACTCTCCTCCCCCAGCTGTAGAAATTACCCACACAATGAGAAACAGCTGCATGATGCTCCTGTTTTGTAATAGGACATTAGTGAATTTTGAATGAGAACTAACAAATGATTTGAGGAACGGGGCATGGAACCCAGGACCCAACTCATGTTAAGAAAGTGTTCTACCGCTGGCTATATCCCCAGCCAACAAATGAACTTAATGAGATGCTCTTACCCCTGGGAACTGGCAGGGCCTCTCACTTGTGCTTTCTCCCACCCCCAGGATTTCCTTCAGTCAAAGCTGTCCCTCACATTTTCTTTCTTTTGGCTGGGATTGTCCTGGAACTCATCTGGCAGAAACTGGCTATGGGAAGACGGTTCATTTCCCCCTCCAACCCTGTAAGTATCTAACTGCTGGGCATGGAAGACCAGGATTCCCATAGAACTCTGAGTCAATTTATGTAAACTGAAATAACTATAAACCTAGATAGGAAAAAGGAACCATACTGTGTAACAAAAGAGAGAGCTTCCATAGGGAATGTCTTGAGGGCTGGTAAGTAATTCCATCTATTTTGTAAAATGCAGTGCAGGGCACTAAACTTCATGTGTCTCTTGGTTGTTTTCCTTATTAAGTGCACCATGTAAACACAGCACAGTTCTTGGGTTAGAATATGCATTTTTCCCCTCCTATATGAATACTGGCCATTCTTGACTCATCTACTGGCTCCTGTGAACATGTGGAGGAAATGACTCATAGTTGGGATGCAGCGCCTGTGGACAATGACTGTAGGTCATCATGCAGCTGTCAGATAACACAGCTCTCTGTATTCACCTTAGAGAGACTACTTCAGGCTTATGCAGCCTCTTCCTTGGGTCTTGAACAAGGTCTCTATTTCCAAGATATATTCAAATAGATCACTATTTGATAGGTTTGTCTCTGGTGAATAAAATAACATGGCATCACCGTGCGCATCATTTGAAAAAAAAGGAGTACTTATAACAAAGATTTAAGCTGAATATGCATAATTTTCAAAGACAGTATTTAGGGATTTAAAGTTGAGCCAAAATAAAAAGCTGGACACAGTTTCCCAACTACCTAAGTCATTCATTTCCTCTCTCAGACTCTTACCTTGTTTTCTCAAATATATATGAAAGCGTGCATAATTACATTTTTACACAGTAAAATGCCACAACTGTTTACATAGTCTGACTTTTATTTTTCTAGTTTTATTAAAATATGAAATATAAAAAATAATCTATAAGTTCTACTGTAATCTGCTCTAGGTAAATTCCATTAATGGAATTCCATATTACTGGTGGGAATAATAATTCCTAAGCCACAACTTAAATAGTATTCTTTTAATTTAATTGGATTTTTATATAGTAGATTCTTACCATGGCTTCCCCTCCCTCATATCCTATCAGATCCCCCCACCCATCCAATTCCATCCCTTCTTTAGAAAGCAAACAGGACAATAAAAAATGTGTGCAGAGCAGTGTCAAGCATAGGTTCCCTCTCATGGAGTCAGCCTTAAGTCCAATCAAATGGTGGTTGGTTGCTACCACAACTTTGGTGCCACTATTGTACCAGCATGTCATGCAAAGTTAAATATATTCTTCTTAAGGGAGTGTTTTACCCAGGGTCAAAATTAATCTGAGGGCTGGAGAGATAGCTCAGCGGTTAAGAGCACTGACTGCTCTTCCAGAGGTCCTGAGTTCAATTCCCAGCAACCACATGGTGGCTCACAACCATCTGTAATGTGATCCGATGCCCTCTTCTAGTGTGTATCTGAAGACAGCTGCAGTGTGCTCATATAAATAAATAAATAAATAAATAAATAAATAAATAAATAAATAAATAAATAAATCTTTTTAAAAAATTAATCTGAAACAAAGAACACAGATGTGCTGGCCATTGCAGATTCTGATGCTCTATAGAGAGTACATAATAGTTGGAATTTTCCCACTATGGATAACTGAGAACACTAAATTCCAATTAAACTTCATATATAATAGTTTTAATTAATTTTAAATTGATTACTTTTCAGATTTAGTGAGAAGGAGCTTGCCAATTTCAATGGATCCAGAGAGTGTGCTTATTTTGAAAGAGGGAATATTTACCTTTCTCGCTGTAGTGCTGAAATTTCTTGGATTTGTGAGAAGACAGCCTCCCTGGTGAAGATTGAAGATTTGGATTAATCCGACTCTTCTAATTTTATCTAGAAGTAAACGTCTACTGCAAACCCATGAAAGAAAAGAGGAAACTACAATATTTGTGTCAAAAATTGACAGTATACTTAAACTATCCTACAGACAAACCTGCTTCTCAGAACATTCTCCTCTTCTTGTCTGGTTCCCTCTGACCTTGTGTTCTGAAAACCTTAAAATAATGTCAAGTACCCAGGAAAGAACATGTCTTCTCAGTCTGTCTGTCAATAAACATTGTTTCTTACTTTATTCTTACATAGCTACACAGTTACTAGGTGATATTTAAATACTGACCACCAGACAAAAACAGGCTACAGTTTGGGAGCAAGTCCCAGGAGACCCCTGTTATACAAGCTTCTTAATAATGTACAGGTATGAGAGAGTCCAAGGTAAAGTAACTGGGACAAAAGTGCTGTATTGCTGAATTAAAAATATGTTAGTATTTTAGAGAATACCCTTAAGTATCAGCCTCCATGTATGCAGTAACTTTGGTCTATCTACCTATGAAACTATGTACTATAAATTCATATAACTTATAGCCTACATAAAGTAGGATGAACACTGTGTCTTGATATTTTATCATTTATTTAAACTAATAATATCCAGGTTATTGAATTGGCAATCCATGTATTATCAGAATAATAAAGATTTTTATTCTAGTACTATTAATATGTTATATAATTTTATTTTGCAGACACATATGATCATCATGTATTTATATGTGTGTGTGTGCACATGTGTGGATACCTGTACCTGTGCATACATGTAGAGGCCAGAAGAGAGCACTGAGTGGCTTCTTCCAACACTCCCTACTGTATTGCTTTGATGCAGGTTTTTCTCTCTGAATGAGACTCTTGTGAATTTTTTTCACAAGCTGCAATTTAGATCCATGTATATTCACTTGTGATTGAGCCCTGAGTGAGGATGGTAGACTCAACACACTTACACTATGTTGTGAAGCCAGCAATCGCCAATCATCTTCCTGTTTCTGCTCGCTGGGTGTGGAGTTACAGGCCAGTGCCTGGCACACCTGGCTTTTAGAGCAGAGCTGAGATATGAACTCCCGTCCAAATCTTTGCTCAGCCAGTGCTCTCCTTCACTACGTATTTTATTTCCTTCTGAGAAATACTAAAATGTTTGAAGACATATTAACAAAACAATTATTTTTTTAAGATTTTCCTGAAAAATTCTCTGTTTCCTGAAATAGATCCCTATAGGAACTGAATACTGTAAATCTAGGCTTCAGAAATCTTTCTGAGATAAAAATACTGATTTCAGGGTATTCATGAATGAAATGGATTTGATTTTTTCACTATTTAGTTATGAACTAATTGCAGAGTTATCGTCTAAAAAGGATGTTTAAATCAACTTGTGGTACCAATTTTGAACAGTGGCCCAGATTTCACTGGAAAATGGATTGCATTCTCAGCACTGTAATAAATAGTTCTTTGAAACAACTTCACAATATTACCCAATATCTTATTATCTTTAAAATGTGAATATTATGACCTCATCATAATATATTTGTTATATAATAGTATAATACATACACATACATATTATTTGTAATTGATTATATATTTTATAATATATATTATATATATATATTTTATGTATTACTATATATTTATATATGTACATCCTATATGTGCATATATAATATATTTTTGATTTTATAATATATAGCATATAATTATACATCATATACAGGGATATATATATCTCCAAGGAAATTCTAGAAATAGGGAGTAAGGTTCAGAGTAACTATTTAATAAGACTTACAAACTGAATGTTAAGTACACATTTTAAAATACAGGTCATTACTTTCAACATAGCGTAAGTGCACCGCATCTACCATCCTCACTCAGGGCTCACTCACAAGTGAACAGACATGGATCTGAATTGCAGCTTTATCCCTCCATTTCTCATCTTTAGGCTCCTGCCTCTGTTCCCTCACAGAGTGGATTTACTCATTAAATGTCAAAAAGTCTGCACTTGACTCCCCCACTTCGGCTGTCCCATTTTTCCCTTGGGAAAGGTGATCACTCCTGCTTTCCCTCTGTCTCTAACCAAAGCATGTGCTTTGTAGGAGCTGATGATCCTTGCTGGTTACTTTGTTCCCATAAAGAGGTTACTGTTTTTGTCTGGCCTCTTGTATCTTCTCCTGCCCAGCTCATGGTCACTCTGACTTTTACATTCCTTTGAAAAGAAACTTTGTTAGTTTCCCAGAGGCTCTGGATTTTGATAAGGTCAGACCATCTATCCCATCCTCCCTGCATCTTACTGTCACCACGCTATCCCCACTAGCCTCTGGAGCAATGAAGACATCCAGATGTGTCCCTTTCTGGAGACCTACTCCCCTGTGTGTATCAGAATACAACACTATCCTTTACTGCATTATTATAGCTGGCTTCTGTCTTGATAGATGACAGAAAGATAGATGTATGAGAGATAGGTGAATGACTAATAGGTATTTGGAGATCATATCTCAGATCTACAGGATCGGATGCCTGGGAAGGCAGGAGTGTAAAAATTGAAATTTGATAAGCTTTGTAATGTTTTATAGGCTCTCAGATTGAATAAATGACCTCAGTACAAATTTCCTGAGCAGACAGGTAGTATAAGTTACTTTTCTATTGCTAGGATTAAAACTCCATGATCAAGGCAACTTGTAGAAGGCAGGGTCTGTCTAGGTGTGTGGCTCCAGAGTGATGTGGGCAGGCGTGGCTGCAACAGAAGGCATAGTGCCAGAGCAGAAAGCTGAGAGATGGTATCTTTAACTGAAAGTTCCACAAGGTAGAAGGAACTGAAAGTACAGTGAGGCTCTATACTTGCAAAGCCCATCCCCCACTGACATACTTTCTCCAGCAAGGCGAGATCTCACAAACTTCCCCAAGGAATGTCACTACTTCGTGTACAAATGTTCAAATGCCTGAGTTTATGGAAGAACAGTCTCATCCAGACCTCAACACAGACAAAAATACTGGTGCCAGTGTCAGAGTAGATGGCCTTCTCTGCAGTGGTAGCAAATATACTTCTTATTCTGGGAACCCTGTGCAAGAGGAGGCAGAAGGAGTGTGGGAGTCAGACAGGGTGAAGGACACCAAAACAAGGCCTTCTAAATCAGCTGAACAACACTCACATGAACTCACAGAGACTGATTATATATATAATTTTAAAGATTCTCTTTTTCCCCCATCACTGTGTGTGTGGGGGGGGGGTGGGTGTGTGTGTAAGAAAAAAAATGAGATACACTTAGGAAGTGTCAAGTGAATGCCAACTCAATATAGCTGTTATTTCTTGCACCATCCCTGTGTGTCCTTGAGTGACAGATCCATCAGTCTTTCTAGTCTGTGCCCTGACCTACAGAGCGCTCTGTGTGGTTCTCTCCATGGATGCTCTTCCTGCTTGAAGATTTTCAATGTTGTGTTGGATTTGTTTTGTTTTGTTTTTGTTTGTTTGTTTGTTTGTTTGTTTTATCATCTGAGCACAAGCCTGGGCCTTCTGGGAAGGAAACTTTAGCTGAGAAAGTGCCTATATAAGATTGGTCTGTGAGGCCAGGCAGTAGTGGGGCAAGTCTTTAATCCCAGCACTTCAGAGTCAGAGGCAGGCAGATTTCTGAGTTCGAGGACAGCCTGGTCTACAGAATGAGTTCCAGAACAGCCAGAGCTACACAGAGAAACCCCGTCTCAAAAAACAAAAAGCAAAACAAACAAACAAACAAAAGAAAAGAAAAAGATTGGTCTGTGAGGCATTTTCTTGTGTAATGTTGATGTGGAAGGACCCATCTCACTGGGCAGGTGCCACTCCTGGGCAGATGGTCCTGGGTTGTATTGAAAACAAGCTAAGCAGGCCTGGGGGTGAAATCAAGTAAGCTGCACTCTCCATGGCTCTGCTTCAGCTCCTACTTTCAAGTTCCTGTTCAACCATGATCCTTTGGTGATTATGTCTTTATTATAGAACTAGGAAGCAAATTGAGACAAATCTTTACTTCCCTATCTCCTGCTTGAAAATCATCAGAGTGTGGGCAAAGACATTTTTCATGCAGTCAAGCACCAGGCATCCAGGATGAGGGAGCAGGAGCTCAGGGGTCAGCAGCAGGTGGAGGTCAGCTCAGGGAATTTCTAGATCTGGGGCTGCTTCTGTACGTGGATTATTTTTATATTTCCTGTGTCCACTGTGAGATATTGCCCAGAAATGAAGTGGAGAAAGATACCCTCCATGTCTGTTCATGTTTCCCATTCTTAAGAATTAGAATTGAAAACTCTTCAGAAACAAAAATAAACCTGGGAGGAGCTGATAAGAAAAATAAAGTCTGTCATTTCCAATAAACAACTGAGTTTCTTAGAAAATTACTCCCATGAATAAACTCCTGTGGGAAATCCTCTACCTCTTAAGTTTGTTGTAATACTTCTGTCTGTTTGTTTATCTTTAAAAACAAAGGTTAGAGGAAGAGTGAATGTGAGAGAGAGAGAGAGAGACAGAGAGAGAGAGAGAGAGAGAGAGAGAGAGACAGAGAGACAGAGAGAGAGAGACCGAGAGAGAGACAGAGAGACAGAGAGACAGAGAGAGAGAGAGAGAGAATTTCTTCAGAAAAATCCCTCCTGTGCCTCTGCGTCTTGTCTTTGTCTCCCTCTGTCAGGCATGACTTTGTTGTGATGATTTGATAATAACTTGTCTTCAGGAAAAGCTTTATATTAGCCTTCAAAGAACCCAGAAGGACCAGGAGCCCAAGCCAATTGGGAACACACAAGTTTGAATCGCCCTTGGATTATATGACAGAATTCTGCCTCAAAACAAATAAACAAACCAACAAACAAATAAATAACGGGTTTTACTAGGTTATATCATTAATATAATACAAGAAAAAAGTCAAACACCATGTGAAGGGTTTTTTTAATTAATTATTTTATTTATTTACATCTCAAATGTTGCCCCCTCTGTCTCCTCTCCTAAAGTTCCCTCTCTTCTTTGCCTATGAAAGGGCGCTCCCCCCAGCCCCACATCCAGGCCAGACAAGGCAGTCCTCTATCACATATGTAGTAGAGGGCTTCAGAGAGCATACATGAACTGGTATGGTTGGTTGCTTAGTCTCTGGGAACTACCAGAGGTCCAGGTTATTTGACACTATTGGTCTTCCTGTAGGATTGACATTCCCTTTAATTCCTTCAAACCTTCCCCTAACTCTTCCATAGGGGACTACAACCTCAGTCCAAGAGTTGGCTGTGAGTATCTGCATCTGCCTCTGTCAGGTGCTGGTAGAGCCTCTCAGAGGACAGGCATGCCAGGTGCCTGTCTGCAATCACAACATGGCATCAGTAATAGTGTCAGGGTTTGGTACCCACTCAGTTCATGGGATGGATCCCAAGTTAGGCCAGTCACTGGATGGCCTTTCCCTCAGTCTCTGATCCATTTTTGTCCCCACATTTCATTTAGACAGGAACAATTCTGGATCAAGGATTTTGAAGGTGGATTCGTTTCTCCACGTCACTTCTGGGAGCCCTGTCTAACTACTGGAGACGGTCTCTTCAGGTTCCACCTCACCACTGTTGGGCACTTCAGCTAAGGTCACCCCAGGGAGCCCCAGGAGTCTCTCATATCCCAAGTCTCTGGGACTTTCTAAAGCTTCTCCATCTCTAGCAGCCACATATTTCCATTCATATTC